TTCATCTGTGGCGTTTTGCGACTGTGCGTAGTTGAAAAGTTTGGGAGGTTTGTTTTGCGCTCTAAATCGTCGCTTTGTCAACTGTAAGCCTTACTTCATGTTTAGTTCCTTAGTTTCATCTGCGAGTTATTGAGTAGGACGTCGCAGGACTGAGTGTTAAAAGAAATTACTTATGCAACAAAGATTTTACGGCGTTAGGTGCATTGGCCTTTTCAGTTAAGTGAAACAAGTTCATCCGATGCCTCTCCACATAAATCGGAAGATTCTGGCCAAACTAGTCCTCGAAGCCCGATCCTGTGAAGCTTTTGCTTGAAGAGTCGAAGTCGTTGGATTATTTTTATTTCTGTGAGAGTTTGAAGGCTTTAAACTTAACTTTTTTCTGTTAGTTAGGTGTACTTTTTATTAAGTTAAGTTGCGTGTTAAATTTTCCCAGTCTGTTCATGTTGTTGCTCACAGCCGTCGTTTTTTGTTATGGGAGTTTTACTTTGTGATATGATGCTGTTCCTTCACGTTTACTTCCTCTTCCCTTCGTTTTTCTCCAAACTTTTTTTCTTCCGACCCTTTGCTTTATTTTTCTGAACAGTTAGACTAGTTCACTATTTCGTTACTTTTGTTCACGATGCTATTAGTGTCTTAGCTCTTCAAAATTTTTTATGCTCAATTTGACCCAGGCTTTATCTGCATAAATCATCATCTTTGTTCACTGTTTGTTCCCAGTAACATGTTCGTGATCAATTCTTTCATTTTTGGCTTTGATATCATTATTGTTGTTTGGTTGTTTTTGTTCTACTCAAAAGAGCTTCAACACTTAATGTCTGTATTGTTCCTAAGATAGGATTTTGACTGTTGTCTTCCATAACTTTTTTTTGCTGTTTCTTCCAGTTGTTTCCCGATGGCCAGTTTCTTCTTGCAACGTTGTATACTTGTTGCAGGGTTGTGCATTTCGTGTTGTTACTTGAACGGTACTATTGACTGCGGGATATCACAAAATATTATCATATATAATTGGATCTCGACGTCGAAACGGTTCGGTGTGCTTTTATCATTAAATTATCTGTATTTACGGCAGTTAAAATGTTTATTTGTTTATATTTTACTAGATTGGTTTTTTGTTAGCCTTATTAATTCCTAAATAAAGTTTTTTATTTGTTTCTCGTCTATTGGCTGGTAGAGTATGTGTAGGAGACTGGAAAGTTCTGTTCAGCTGGTAGTTCTTAGAACTTAGTGTTGCTGCCACGGAGGTTGCATATTATCGCCAAATTAGTTCCCGACTTGTTGTAGCTTGCTGCAAAGTCTTAGCGCACGCTGGCATTGGGCATTGTAAGCATTTCTTTTTAAATCTAGGCAGGTTCTGTAATCGAAAAGCTCCATCTCGTGGTCAGTTCAGGCAGGAGATGCCTCTCTTATAAAGGTTCCGGAGACCTCCAGCAATAAACAATCAAGAGGAGCGAGAGGAACAAAAACATTTATAGATGGAAAGAAGAAACAGCGGCTGACTTTGCGCTAAACGTACGCTCTCAATGCTGTTGAAGCAACATTTCAAGTTAATTTGTTTGAACTACAGAACTGAAAACAAGAAGTTTATCTCAAGAAACTTGGGTAAACTGTAAACTTTCTATATAAGCAGGGACTCTGTTGAGAAGCCTGTTACGTATAATCATCCCGGTGATGAAGAGTTAATTGGTTTTAATGGTGAAGCGCAGCATAAAACACCCACAAAAGACAATATATGTTGGTGTACATATAAATTGGTATAGCATATATATAGAGATGAAAATAACGGTTTCGTGAAGAACTTTGAAAAGCAACCAATACAGAGCTAATCATCAGTATGACAAATGTAAATTCAAATCATGTATCCACAAGCCGAATTTAATAAGTAGTCGAACTGCAAACTCTTGTTTTTTTAACACAGAAAGTCGGCTAAAGAACTAAAGCTATATTGAAGCAACAAGTGCTTTACTGCCTATGATGACTGGAAGCGATTCTGCTCTTCTTTACTGGATCTCAGCACTTTGAAAAATAAAAAATTCCTGATATTAAGTATTTGACAATCAGATGGTAGAGAGCACAAAAGATTTTAGAGGCAGTTTTTGGAAAAGTAGTTTAAACAGTTAATAACCATAAGAGCAATGTACATGAAAAGAAAAGTGTTATCAAACTAACAAATTTTAGCTGTTTCAGCAAAACCGAACCAAATGAGTAGTGCTGAAATGATTACCATCAACTGCTGGTGTGCGTAAAGAAACTTGACAACAGCCTTTGTACGACCTGAAACATTTTGTACAGACTCATCAAATAATATCTTTATCTTCTCCTAGTGATACTTTATTATTACAACACGGTACATAAATCTTCGCTTTTTGAGCAACAAGTAGCAAAAAGAATTCATTTCAGACATGAGGGGTGTATCAAGTAAGTAGATTGCCAATGGTGTTAAACGCCGCTCCAGATCGCATAGCTTTAGATTCAGTACGTGCATGCATCTTTTTTTTTTTTTTTTTTTTTTT